GTTGTGTGAACTTCTAGGATTAATGATGAGCCGAGTGTCTTTTTAAAAAAAAGCTTGCTGAAATTTGAAATTAACCTGGTAATCTTAATGGTAAGGGCAAGTTGATTATCTGAGAAGAGAGAGGAGCAATGATGTGGAACGATGTTGCTTGGTTATCAGTTCCTGAGAACAATGAAATTTGATCTCAGTACAGTGTGAAAATATCATTTTTGATCACAGTTTCTACAAGATCCTGACACTACGTTTGTGCTGTAAAAAAGTAATTTCAGCTGCATCAGGATATTGACAAACTTATTTCTATTTGAAACTGGCTTTGGTATATGTTAATATCACTAGATTGTAACCAGGTTGTTCAGGAGTTTGCACCACATCTTGTGTAGAAGTGGGGAGAAACCAAATAATTGCGGATTTTTTTTTTTAACTACTGAAACAAGAGTTTGAATTTAGTGAATGAAGTAAGAAATAATGAACCACTGTGGCAATACTAAGGGAGTACAGTACTGTTTGCAGTTTTATGTAGCACCCATTTCGACCTGATTTTGACATTGGAGAACTGTCAAGAATTTGTCATTTGCCTCTTTTTAGTTTCTAAACTGCAATATAATTTCTACTGAGTTGAATTTATTCAAAAACCCAATCAATGAAGCAAGTTCTTTTATGCTTTACGGTTATGTAGAATATTTCTTAATTACACTTTAGATTATGAAATATTATTGAAAACTTAAAAAAAGTTCCATTCTGATGAACATTAATAACTGTCATTAGACTTGTTTAACTGAGGATTAACACACAATAAGATCAATTGTTACACTGAACTTTGTTTAAAAAAAGTAATGGTGCTAAAATCTACTAGAAGTGAACAATTTCATTATTCAATAGGTTATTTTCATATTCTACTGAAATTCTGTGTCATTGCAGAATTTGTTAAAACCCTGTCTTTCTTTGAACTAGTGTGCCCTGGTCAGATTCTAAATTTAGTTTAGGCAGTGGAATTTTGGTACAGAAAGGTACTTTCCATAGTATTGTGATACCAATAAGATTTGAGAGAGTTTTTAGAAAAACAAAATCGGGATCTGATTCTTTCTAATTAAAAATAACTGCATAGATAATTAGGAATTTGATTACTTCATCTCTCAAATGTTTCTTCAACTTTACTTTGTAGCCACGTGAATAAATCGGATTGTAATGGCAACTGAAACATTGAGAACCAAAAACAGGGCTATTTGAAAAAAATATGTATATGCCTATCCAGTGAGCTAACAAGATTTTCATAACTCACTGGTTAGGAAATTATATTGATTACTTAACAATTATATTTGATATTATTTGCTTAAAAAATGTACTATTATGTGCCTGTGCATTGAAGAACAATTAGCTAATTATGTCAAGCACTTAAAAGCAGTCATTCAATTCTCAACTTGATGAGTTATTTAGTCATAGGTTCCTTTTTTTCAGATGATCAAACTGAAAGAATTGTACGTGCAACAAGATCCCTGGCAATTAAACATGCACCAGTAACTTTTAAATTGATTTCACTTCATAAACAGATCCATTCTTCAATTTGAACTGCAGAAACAGAAGGGAGGTTAGAAAGAATGATATTTTCGTAATTTGTTTGATTGCAGTTAATAGCCTATGAAACAAATTGGTGCCATATTACAGTTATCTAATTATAACAATCTACTAGAATCAATATATTCTCCAGAAATATTTCATTTTGAAACTGTTAATTTTATTGCATTACTGCTGTCTTCTCAAGCTAATGATGCATGATAATTCATGGTACAACAATGGGCATTTGTGGTCCATTGTACCTTGTACATGTGCATTTAAGCATCTACAGTGAGTGCTGGTAGGTCACTTCACTAACTATAGACCTATTATAATCAAACCTAAACCAGCATTCACACACACACCTGCAGAAGCAGTCACTAGGTAGCATTAGCTTTGCCCTAAGTATTTTTATTCTTTTTCACTTCATTGGAGATACTTGGATTTTTGTTAATAACTTACCACACAGCTGTAAAACTATCCCATTGTAGTAACCATCCAATTTTCACTTTTCTTTCAAATCAGCATCAGTCTCGTACCATGTTAAATTTAGAAATTGATTCGGCATCAATCCTGACATGTTCTGGTTTCTTTGGCTAATGACTATATGATGTGCACTTGCCAACTAACAAAATGTTTGAAGCACATTCTAGTATTTAACTGCACTGTTAAGTACTGCCTCAACTACGTTTTTCAGTTGGAGAGGCAGGAGTCGGTGTTGTCAAGTAACAGGGAGAAAATGACTTGTTTCTATGAGTTTCGGCTCCCATTTTAAGATAATAATTTCTGTGCTGAATGTGTTGCATCATATTTTATTCAGGAAGGGAAGTAAACAAAATTGGCTAGCGTTCCTAATCTCTCAAATCGGGATGCCAAATGGGTTTAGACAAAAGAATTTGAAAACATCATAACGCAAATTGATTTTTCAGCAAAAGTAAAGTTTCTTTCAGGTTATAAATTTGATTCCTTTCTAAGGAAAATAATAGCATGTTAACTACAAATAAAAATTCAGTAGCATCTTGACTGACAATTGTTCCTTTTAAATTTTTGTTGATTTCAGTAGGGTGCATTGCTCAGTTCTGGAATCTGTAGTCCAGTTTTTCTTTTCCCATGATTTTTTTTAAAATTGAAGTTGACTAGTTGACGAGTTAGAAAAAAGATTCCATGAATGTTTAAATAGACATGTTAAACCACAGTGTTTTGAAGGTGGGGGAAACAAGAATCTTGTTAACTATTGAGCTATCTTTTGTTTGCATCATCCTTTCCACGACCCATATCTCCAAAATGGTGAAACAATTGTGAAAATTGAAATTCTAGCAGTAATACTGGTGACCTTTTGTCATCAATGAGAAGCCTTTTCCAGTATGTTTTATGGATCTTAATGAAGCATTCCTTAAAAATTGCTGTTGAAAATAAAAATTTGTGGTTAATTAAGGAAAGTGATATTTTTTTGCTGTATTGTCATTATTATGTAGTGTAAAATCTGCAGAAATTATCATTTAAAACATAGCTTGTCAGATTAATAATTTTAAAAATTTAAATCAAAAGGAATAGAATTGAATAATTTTTTGTTTTAACAAAAATTAACCATGATTAACATGGGAAGAAGGATTTTCTGTTTGCCCTCAGCGGAATTGTCTGTGTTCTTTGTAAATTGGCTGTTACAGTAGCATACAAATTAAACCTTTGTTACGCCTTTCACTAATTCGTGTTTTTAAAAAAATTCCAGTGGTACTGATATTTAACCTATGTGATAATTATCTTGTTTGCATGTTCTGTCTAATTTTTTTTGAAAATGGAAGTTAAAGCAACCCACCCGAAAAATATATGTTCACTGAATTACATTTTGTCTCATCATGCAAATCAGCCCAATACTAAATTAATCTCTTTATGAAATGTTGATCAAAAGTGGTAACTGGACGGCTCTTTTGAAATTCATTCTTCCAATCTAAAAAGCTATGTTTTTCTCCTGAATTGTTGTATAATCTACTCAAAAACAAAATACTTTTTGATTTGTGATTGGCTGAGGCTGTTGAATTAGGAAACAGGTGACAGCTTTGAGTTATCTATTTTGAGAATCTAGGACCAGAACTGGATGCAAATCTCGGAACAAAAGTTTTACTTGCTCACTGGAAAAACATTCACCAGAATCCTGTTGAGATAATTATAAACTATAATTATAAACTGCTCTACTGAGGAGGAATAATCCAACTTGTTTAGCATGGTATTGAACATAGTGCAATCTTTGTAACGTAGTCATCATCACTGCATTACAGAGCTAAAAGACTGAATGAGTATGAGTGCTACATAACTTGAGTAATCTCATTTAAGTCTATAATTTGCATAAAATGTTTAAGAAAGAAAAAGAACTGTTACTCAGGATTAGTTCTTAGATTTACTAACTCTCTACGGTGGGGAAATAATAAATGTTGTACTTTGATTTAGCAAGCACTTAATGAAGACAAAATTGATTTTTTTTGTAATATCAGTTTAAGGGATTATAATTTTTAAAGCATACCATATTTATTTTAATATTGATTCAATTTTAATTTAAATTCATATTTAGTATCTAATGTACTGTATTAATGGGATTATTCTCGCCAAACCTTGCTAATCAGATTAACTGTTTACTCAGGAAATATATATTTAATATTTAGTTTTTTGGGTTGTATGTGCAAAGTATTTTTCACAAATTTAACTGTGTACAGTACTAGGTTACCAAAGCTATTTTTGTTTAACTGATTTATTTCTAGAATTCTGGAACCATTTAGCGACTAGAGACATTCTATTACATAGAGCTAGTCATAAGGTAGTTTTCATACTTGGGCTTAGACAATCAGAAGTCTTGCGTCTTAAAGCATTGTGAATGTAGAGAAGGATTGAGATATTTATAGGACTATTAACATAGGTCAAAATTGTTTTTTCATTCATATTACACTACTTAACTCTTGTCAATTTAATGCTTTTAATAAAAATAACCGTGTGATCTTATTTTTTGAAAAATGGTATTATAAACCAGGTAGTATTCATAGTTTGTATTTGGAGAGATTGGCTCAGTGAGAAATCTCTTTGGGACTATTCTAACTATGAGATTTGATTTAAAGGCAAAGTAGTAGCTCCCACCGAAATTACATTAGTTTTGCATATGCATAAAATTATTAAAAGGCAGCATTGAGAATCTTTGGGCTTAATTATCTTAAGATCTATGGTTAAAACCAACCAACAATCAATTTTTAATCATTATGATTCTTCACAGGATGTAGGCATTGCTGGCTGGGCCAGTTTTTATTGCCCATCCCTAATTGCACAGTTCATAGAGGACACTTAGGAGCCAACCACCTTGCTGCAGGTATGGAATCTCCTCTTCAAATTGAATCAGTTGAAGAAACGGTAGTCTGAATAACTTCCCAAATTTGACCACGTGTTTCATTTTATATAGTTTTTAAAAGATTCTTTTAAATGGAATATACGGAACATATTTTATTCTTAATCTACTAAGTTAATTTCATAGGCAGTCAGTAAATGCAAATTGTTGAGCGTTGTCACAAATATTACTTCCTTTAAATGTTCAATTAAACCACCAAATTCATTTTGTTTAAAAGTCATTTCATGCATGTCCTTATGAAAATGTAAAACACTTACTAGACACACCATAAGCATTACCCCTACCAGCAACTCCACCCACAATCTTGGGCTTTGAAGCACAGAAGTAGAAACTTTATATCCCCTAATCTTTGGTGAATGCTTGTGGTCACAACACTACGCCTTGAAGATGACTGTTTAGTTATATTTACAATTAATTCAAACATAAAAACCAGTACTACAGACCACTATTTTGCTTTCCCTTAATTACCCTAATTTATTTTTATTAAGGCATATATTTTACTGGAGGCTATTAATATTTTGGGATTGTTCAAAGGGAGAAAGTTTCCTTTTAGAAAAGTGAATTTTAAAATTCAAAAATTGAATTTGTTGAAACATTCCAGGTACGTTCATCTGTGGAAAAGAATGAATACACTTAATCTTTATGGTCCACACACAATTTAGCAACCAATGTTTCTGAATTTTTAAAGGAAACGGTTTTCAGTCAAAATCCAAGATATCAGTGCTGCCTTTTATAATCCAGATTGCAACATGCCTTTGTATAATAGGTTTACACTTCTCATTTTTGGTATAAATTTTATGGAAATAGTTTGCTACAGATTTTAATAAAGCATTAAAACCGTACACATTAAATGTACGGCAATGTGACCTACATAAAGAAGGGAATAAAAAGATGATTTGCTTGTGCATTTTTGAAAATCTTAGATTTTGTTTACACAAATTTATTTTTGTAGCCATACTGGATTGTGCTCTGGTAATGAATGTATTGGGCATTGTAGATTCCTTTTTGGGTTACATATGTTAATTTGTATTCGTGGTGTGTGTAATCTTTCTAAATCATTTTGTGTATTTTAAAAATGGTAATGTGCCTTTTACTGATTTTGTTTTAAATGGTTAAAAAGCTGTATTTATGTTGGATTCAGCAGCTTTATAATTACATGTTATTACTGATGTTTAAAATATTGTTAGTTTCTGCTAGCTTTTCACAAATTAGTTATATAATGTGTGACAATGTATAGCTAACAGTGCTGCATGCTAATTTTCTTAAATGTATTTGTATTAGTCTGGTTCAGTAAAAGGCATGAGGCACTTGCGTAATGGTACTATTGTGAAATCAGTCAACCTTCACTGGTGTTTACTGGCATGGAATGTAATTTATGCAATAATCTAAACTGTATCCTCATAAAATGAAGAGTATGTTATCCATAATGACAGTATCTTCTATGTTGGATCAATGTGAAATTTGCTAACAACTTAATAGTTTTTAGGTGCTGGAATGTTATGGAGCGCTTACTTTCCCCTTTCTTACTGAATATGTTCATTTAAAAATAAGGGGTTTGCCCTCAATACCTCTGCCCTTGGTTGAAAATTTAAGCATTGCGGTACTTCAATATTTCCAAGTTTTTAAATGTTTAATCATGTCTTTTGCCTTGATCACCATTGTTAGATTTAATACAATATACAGGAAATTTGGTTTGCCGAAAGAAAGATGTTGACATGATTGCTCCACAAGAACACCTAATTTATATTCAGGGGAGATTTAATTATTGTAATCTGTTAGCTTTGCATCAACAAAGGGAAAAAAAATTCAAAAGCCAAATAATTTGAGCTTTGGATATTTAATCTTTTCACCGCACTTTCCTTGCTCATTGTGGTCTTTAACCAATGCAACTGATTGTTTCTTTTTAATAGCATTTTATGTGAATTGTGTTTTATCTGGAGACTAACTGGAACTGAGCATGTTTCTAAATCACTGATTTCTAGAGTACCTTTTTATTTTGTGTATAATAGGAATTCCAATGTTTTCTTAAGGTAGAAGTATTCCAAGACTTAAGATCAGTGTGCAGTTGCAGACTTCTTCTGTAAGAGTGAGGTGTTAGAAAAGGTGGTCATGATATTATAGAGGATGACAATTCACTAAAAGATGCTCTCATCATATACTGGAAAGAAGACAACCTGTGTTGCTGCTGCATAAATGTTATGGGAAAAATATTTTAATTCCTATTGTTAGAATCATGTGGTTAGGTTGCTCTGCTCTGAAAGATGTACAAGATGTTGCTTGATCTATAAATTCAGTGTTGGACAAGAACTGAAAAATTTGATCACCGAGGAGAAGTCTGCAGTGCATGTATGTGGACCAATCATAACGTTCTGTTAATGAATGCTGTTTAATTATAAATGTACTGTCTTTGTGAATCACTTAAACAATATTTTGTTGCAAATGTTGCTGAAATTCCATCTCGCTAACAATCAAATTATTGTTTATTGCAGTCAGCCATAGCTTTCAAGTGCTGAATTATTTTAAAAGTTGTGGTTTGTATTTAACTGGGGTGTGCAGCAGCATTGGAGCTGTTTTAAAAAACAGTTTGAAAATTAGTCCATTACTGCGAAGAAATAAAGTTTAAATTAGTTTGATGTTAACCTTTTTATGACTCTTTTTATTCTTGGGTATGGAACTTATGGGTGGAATTTTCTGTGCCCTTGAGTGATGTGGGCAATGGTGAGAAGTGATAGCAAATACAAAACTCTGGGGAAAAAAAAATCCAGAATTTCAATATTAAGAAAATATTTTCTGATTTTCTCCTTAAGGTTTATATGGCAACTTTAGAATCACCCAGATGAGTGACAGTTATCTTATTTCCAAGTATTTGTATCTTATTAGTAGCCCAACTTGCCTGTTTTCTTCGCAGTTTCCAATTCTGTCCTTCATGAAGATTGAAGGTCATCAATTGCTGAAATTCAAAATGGTAGCCTGGTGACAGCAGCTCCCTGCTTGCTTCTGTTCAGCTCAATTCTGTCTTAAGACTGTAAGATATAGGAGCAGAAATTAGGCCATTCGGCCCATCGAGTCTGCTCTGCAATTCGATCATGGCTGATGAGTTCCTCAACCCCATTCTCTCGCTTTTTCCCTGTAACCCTTGATAATCAAGGACCTATCTCTCTCAGTCTTACATGTACTCAATGACCTGTTCTCCACAGCCTTCTGTGGCAGTGAATTCCATAGATTCGCCACTCTCTGGCTGAAGAAGTTTCTCCTTATCTCCGATCTAAAAGGTTTTCCCTTTTACTTTAAGGCTGTGCCCTCGGGTCCTAGACTCTCCTACCAATGGAGGCATCTTCCCAACATCCATACTGTCCAGGCCATTCAGTATTCTGAAAGTTTCAACTAGATCCCCCCTCATCCTTCTAAACTCCAATGTGTATAGTCCCAGAGTCCTCAAACATTCCTCGTATGTTAAGCTTCTCATTCCTGGGGCCATTCTTGTGAACCTCCTTTGAACCCGCTCCAGGCCAGTGCATTCTTCCTGAGATATGGGGGCCAGAACTGTGCACAATACTCCAAATGTAGCCTGACCAGGGCCTTATAAAGCCTCAGGAGTACATCCCTGCTTTTATATTCAAGTCCTCTCAAAATAAATGCCAACATTGCATTTGCCTTCCTGACTACTGACTCAACCTGCAAGTTTACCATGAGAGAATTCTGGACTAGAACTCCCAAGTCTCTTTGCACTTCAGACTTCTGAAGTTTCTCCCCATTTAGAAATTAGCCCATGCTTTTATTCTTTTACCAAAGTGCATGACCTCACACTTTCCCACATTGTACTCCATCTGCCACTTCTTTGCCCACTCTCTTAACCTGTCCACATCCTTCTGCAGCCTCCCCACCTCCTCAATATTACCTGTCCCCCCACCTATCCGTGTATCATCTGCAAATGTTGCCAGAATACCCACAGTTCCTTCATCTACATCATTAATGTATGAAGTGAAAAGTTGTGGTCCCAACAATGACACTTGTGGAACACCATTTGTCACCGGCTGCCATCCTGAGAAAGACCCTTTTAACCCTTTTTAAGCCTTATGCCAGACATCCAGTCTTCTACCCATGCTAGCACCTTGCCTGTAACACCATGGGCCCTTAACTTACTCAGCAGCCTCCTGTGTGGCACCTTATCAAAGGCCTTCTTGAAGTCCAGGTAGATAACATCCATTGGCTCTCCTTGGTTGACCTTGCTCGTTACTTAAATAATTCTAACAGATTTGTCAGGTATGACCTCCCCTTGATGAAACTATGCTGACTTTGTCCTTACAAACATTTCCAAATATTCAGAAATCTCATGCTTCACAATGGACTTTGTCACAACATTGCAGCATGCTCCATATACTTGGGTGTTCTCCAAAGATATGTGGGTTAGGTGGATTGGCTGTGCTAAATTGGTGAGAATGTTGAGGGATGTGTAGGCTAGGTGGATTAGCCATGGGAAATGCAGGATTACAGGGATAGAGTGGTGGGGATGCCGGGGGCGGGGGTGCTAGGTCTGGGTGGGATGCTCTTCATGGGGGTGCAGTGGACTCGAGGGGCTGAATGGCATGTTTCCAAATTGTGGGGGTTCTATAATGCTCCGCACCTCTAGTTCCCTGTCAGTGAACTGAGGACTAACTTGCCTTTCTGTTCTGTATCCTCAGTGTAGACAGTTACACAGCACATTGTGAAAGACTTAGTTCTTGGCATGCAGTATTTGAGTTGCTGTTGAGCTGTTTAAATATGTTCCCCAGTGGTATGCACATTGCAATACCCTGGCAGTGGCAAGCACTTCTGCCTCTCCATGAGGCAGGTTTCATACAGGCTGGTTGCATAATTCTAGTTAGAGATCCACCCTGATGCACTAGTTTCCGTGGGAACAGAGGTTAGTTGAAGTACCTGAGAGACATTTAAATGAATTAACTTTTAGCTTCAAAACCAAACCTATTTATTATATTCACACACTAAGTATCTCTTCAGCTTAAAAAAAAAAGGCTTGTATGTGGTCTGCTTTCAGTTTTTGAGTGTTTTCAGTTTTAAAAATAGCCAGTAGCATAGCTCTACACTTTAAACAAGATAAATGTTTATGACACAG